GTATATATGTATGTATATGTGTATATATATAGATATAAAACTATATTTATATCTATCTATATAAAAAACTATATCTATAAAACTATATCTATATATATATTACTTAATGGTTCATAAAGACTAATAATTTCTATTATAACTCTAATGGTTTGTACTAGGTAGATGCCCAGGTCAAAGAATCTGTCAAGCTAATGCTTTTTGGTGATCAGCAAGACTTTCCCAAATCACTTCTCCAATGGCTTACATCCAATTTTGTGAGCAAAAGTGATCTGCAGACTTTGCTGCAGGACCTAGAGATGCAGATCCTCAAGAATATTACTCTTCACATGTCTGTTACAAACCAAAAACTAACATCTGAAGTAGTAACAAATGCTGTGGCTAATGCAGGGATTTCTGGAATCACGGAAGCGGTGAGTGAGTTTAAGTTCTCAAAAGTTTAACTAAAACTGTAAAGAGTCCTTCTGTAGGCATTTATTGGAGCATGACTATCAATATAAATGTTAATTATTTTAAGAGATGTCAGGAACTTTAACTGAAATGGAGAGAGCTACAGAAAATGCTTTATCAAGTGTATACTTACAGCATTGCTTGTTGTCTGTTTTGAACTTTAGTGTTTTATCAAATTATGCTATCTTGAAAATTGAAGAATTCCCAAGAAACAAGTATAGCAAAGAAATGCAGCTCAGGGTCTTGGAAATGTGAGGGGAAGAATGCAACTTTTGAAGAAAACTCCAGTTAAGATGCAGTATGAATTTGTATTTTAAGACAGACAACCATGCATTAAAACAAAAGGCTTTCAAAGGCTTGTGATAGAGTGCAGCATCTCAAAGATGCTTGCAACTCCATAGATGTGTGAGCATCAATTATTTTATCACTTGATATTAATAAAATCTCTTTGTATTCTCCTTTTCTATGTATACATCTGTAGCAAGCACAGATTATTGTAAACAACGCACTGAAACTCTACTCTCAAGACAAGACTGGTATGGTGGATTTTGCCTTGGAATCTGGAGGTAAATAGTAGAGGAGACACCATTTTTACTATTCATGTTACAGTACTTACTGAGAATCTTAATTTTAAGACTAAAGGTTAGTAGAGCATCCTTGTGTGTTGCCTGATCATCAGACTGCTGCAATCTATGTGTGTTGTTTTACAGGGTTATGTATCAGCCTAGGTGTGCACAGACAGGGTAGAATTATTCTTCTAAGCATGTGTACAACTGGATAATAGAGAACAACAGATGTGTTTGTGTGGGGTGAACTCTTTAGGGAAGAAAAGTGTATTTTTCAGCCCTCTTAAATTTAAAACTTTAAAATGTTCCTAAAATAACTTTGTACTTGATAGAAGCAGCACAGTATCCCCAGGAAACTATTAGACTTCAGCAGTATCTTTCATTTTATATTTTTTCTGAGGAAAATAACTGGTATATTCATTAAGCTTTGTACAAATCTTTGCCTTAAAAGTCTTCAGGAAGAAATTAGTAACTTCTTCTAATGTGATATATCCTTTTTTTCTTTTTTTTTCTTGAGGTGGCAGCATTCTGAGTACTCGCTGCTCTGAAACCTATGAGACCAAAACAGCATTGATTAGCCTCTTCGGAATTCCTCTGTGGTACTTCTCTCAGTCTCCCAGAGTGGTGATTCAGGTAATTAAAGTCTGAGTAAACAGATTCAGCAATGTTATTTTGTGTTGAGTGGTTTGGATTGTTTTTTGGATGCTGGGATGCATGGGTGCTTTGAACTATGGTCCCAAGAGTGGGATTCTTCTGTTCCTGGGCATTGCTTAAGTCCTACTCTGGGAAAATTAAGGCCCTTATAGGAGGTTTGTGTGGTGCACTGGACTTCTGCAAAGTGTGAGAACTGGGAGGGTTCCTGTTGAGAAGTAATCTCAGGGTGGGTCTTCAAAACACTGCTGGTAGTTCAGGTGGTTGTGCTGTCTTCCTGAAGAGTCCTACCAAATTATTTTCTGCCACTCACTATCTAAGACTGTCTCTTATAATTCAGAGTTCATTATAATTCTTTATTACAAAAAATCATTACAAGATGCTGGTGGTGGTGGTGGTGGTGTTTTGTCTCATCCTGTTCTCTCCCCTTTCCTCCTGTCTAGCCGGACATGTATCCAGGGAACTGCTGGGCGTTCAAAGGATCACAGGGGTATCTTGTAGTTAGACTCTCAATGAAGATCTATCCAACTGCCTTCACAGTGGAACACATACCAAAAACACTTGCACCAAGAGGAAATATCACCAGTGCTCCTAGGAATTTTTCAGTATATGTAAGTCTGTCTCTGAACTTAAGTTGATGTTTGTATGCATAAAGAATATTTGTGTTCTGTACTTTGGAAAATAATGACTTGAGGGAAAAGATTATAAACTGTTTCAGTCGTTGCTCTTAAAATTGCTTATATTTTTTTAATGAGCTTTGAGATCAGGAGTAAGAAGTGTTAAATAATAATTTGGGGGGAGTTGTTCTTTTGCTTTATGCAGTAGTAAACATTCTGGAGGGAGAAGATGGTTTTTAATTTAGTACAGGTTTTTCATACACTTAAACTGTTCCACCCTTCCTCCACTCCTCCCTC